TTCGAGCCCTTCCCAATATGCCTCAGTCCAGTAGTCCACCCATCAACAGCTTCTCTGCCCTAAAAAAATAACACAGAGCTCTTGATTTCAGAAACTTGCAGCATGGAAACTCAAAGATTGACTAAGACAAAAAGCTTCAAAGGAGACAAAAGGACTAGTATAAATTATTACATAGCAGCGAAATTGAAGGTATTTCGTTTTCCATCTCTTCAAATTCTTACTTAGGGAAATCAATTTCCCCAAATTTTTGGTCAACGCACCCGAACTAGTCTGAGCGGATCCGACACAGATCCCACACCCTTACCCGTGTCAGTGTCGTGTCGACACTGGTACGGCACCGAAATTGCTGTGTCGGAGCAACTTAGTAAAACATTATGTTGAAGGAAAGAAAATATTTTGGTTTCAAGGATGGAGAAATTCAAAAGTCAAAAGAATGTCCAAGACAAAGTAACCAAAAAAGAAAAGAAAATAATATATGAAAAGAATCATTTTTAGTTAAAAAGTCTGAAGGCGCGCAGGCTAGAATCGAACCCTTGACCTTCAAGACAGAGGTGCACACAGTTACTACTGGACCAAAGTGCTCAATTGAGTATGGGTTCACACTAGGGGTGTTCATAAAAACCCGAAAAATCGAACCAAACCGACTAAAAAAATCGATACTTTTTAGGTTTGGTTTGGGTTTATTTTTANTATATATATATATATATATATGTATATTTTTATATAAAGTTTCTAAAATTTTATGGTACATATTTATCATTTGTATTTTTAGTCTAGTTCTTTGCTATACCTTATCAAAAAAAAATCTAGTTCTTTGCTATTATAATAATCTAATTCTTTGCCTTCTAGTTTGATTGTTATTTTTCTTTTGCTAAGTATAAGAATTTATTTCATGTTAAAAATAATCAATTTTTAATTGAGTAGTTAAATTATTCATCACTATTTGAATCAATTATCCTCAATATATCTTGGTAAATGATAGATTTCTCAAAGAACAATTAGTCTGATAGTGTTACGTTGAAAATATAGTCGCCGGAATATGCATTTGGTAGTGTATGTCTCATATTTAAGAAAAAACCGATAAATAACCGGAAAAAACGAAAAACCGACAAAAACCGAATCGATAAAAAATCGACTTAATTGGTTTGGTTTGGTTCCAATATTTAAAAAACCAACTTACTTTGTTTTATTTCTTTTTAGGGAAAAATCGACCCAAACCGAACAATGAACACCCTTAGTTCACACGCGGTTATTTAAGTATGTAACGCGAAAAACACTAATCCTATACATAATCCTTGGAGGGGAGCATGGGTTCACGTGAACCCACTCACTTACACATGGATCCGCCCCTGATTATGTTTAGCAGATCATGTAGTCACAACTAGCCAATTGATGTTTCTCGATACACGCAAGGAAGTAGAGCCGTCAAAATCGAATGGCCCATGAGGCCGACCCAACCCAACCCGTAACTTGGGTAGGGGTGGGCTAAGGGTTTTTTAGCCCATTTAGAACTGAGGCTTCTAAGCACCACCATAATCAGCCCGCTGGCCTTGAGGCTGGACTGAGGCCGGCCTTTGAGGCCAAAGAAATAATTAATATATTTCAAAGAAAAACGTAAAAGGAAAATAGTAAAGGTTCTTAGAACCAAGGCTAAACGCAATATGTAGCCTACAACTAATGTTACCTTCTACTTTTGTTTGTTTTTCTTTAAATGTCTCTTCCTGCACTTGTATTCCCAGATTTTGATTACATAGAAATTTGTAGGATATTTTAAGGTGCCTACTCATCTCATCAATTGCATATCCTGTGTCAAAAACCATTATATTCTTTCTGGTCTCACATGCCTGGAATCTCTAGTTTCCAAAGAATAGCGGTTAGGTATTCTGGTTTTAGTCTATATGCACGATAAAAATGCATATCGTTGCGATGTTGTAGAGTCAGTTTTAACATTTTTGCATATTTCATCTTCTTTATGTCATCAGTGAAACCGTAGAAATGTGAGCCTTACTTGATAGCCATAATAAAAAGGTAACCATAAATCCATGACAATCATCTTTTGAGAAATTGTACTCTCACAATGTCTCAACTATCAAAAAAAACCTGAAAAGGTGTACACAGCAGCAAGTGGTAATGATTATATTGGACATGTCTTATAACTTTTAAAAAATAAATAAATTGAAGGTCCATTCTGGCCCACTGCCAGCTCAGGGCTGGACTGGAATTTTTAAGGCCCCTTCAAATGAAAGGCGGCTCATCTTAGCCCGTTAAAATTCATAGCCCGTGAAGGCCGGGCCATTTTGATAGCTCTACTAGGAAGCAACCAAGAAGCCTGATAGTGGAACACGTTCCATAGTAAAACTGGTCATCAGTGTTTTGGATAGCGTGTGGCGACAAATAGCGATGAGTGCCCGTTTCACTGAGGCGCGCCTTTTTGATGTGAAGCGATAATTTATACAAAAAAATAAAATATTATATATATAACTAAAAACTCAATAGCAATAATATATTAATAAATATATCAATTCAAAAATTAAAAACTCAATAGATAGTCATAGTAGATTCATAAACTAAAACAAGCAACATCTATTCTTCTTCAAGATTTTCAAATTCTTGAACTTCAAGAAAGTTAGCATTATAGGAAAAAATTATCAAGTCAATATGCAATTAATTCTAACTCTATAATTGAAAAAAAGGAGGAAATTTCAGGTTTAAATAAAGCTCTCTGCCTCTGCCCAAAGTGAAGCTGTGAAAGATTGAAAAACAAAAAACATAGCCAAAAAAAAAAAAAAAAAAAAAAAAAAAGAGAAGAACTGAAGAAGCTCTCAGAATTACTCTGTTCTGTTGACTGCAGCACCTTGAAAAAACAGAGCAAAAACAGGCTCTGTTCTGTTGAGTGCAGCAGCAGCGATAAAAAACAGAGCCAAAAAAAAAGGGAAGAAAAAACAGAGCAAAACAGACTCTGTTCTGTTCACTGCAGCAGCAGCAGCGATAAAAAACAGATCCCAAAAAAAAAAAAAGAGAAGAAGGAAAAGGAAGAAAGAAAGAAAGGAGAAAGAAGAAAGAAAAAAATTGGACACCTCAGGGCAGAGCAGAAACTCGAAGAAAGGAGAAGAAGAAAGAAGAAAAGAGATGAAGAGAAGCTAGAAACTTGAAGAAGAAAGGAAATCGATGGTCTGCCGTAGGTCTGCTGTCGACTTGAAGGAGGAAGAGTAAAGAAATTGCGAGCCCTAATTTTTTTTTAATTGCAGATCGCTGCTGCTGCCTTTTTCTTTTCTTTTTTTGCAAAAAGCGACGCTATAGGTCGCCACACGCTACAGAGGCAGAGGCGCTTGCCTCTTTGAAAATGCTACGCTACAGAGTAAAATGGCGACGGAAGCTTGCCTCGCCTCGCCTCGCCTCACGCTATTAGCGCTGAGGCGAGCGCTATTTACAAGACGGTTGGTAAGTGGTAACGTGCATGGAATATAAAGGCTGCTTATTGCCTTCCTGAATGCAGGCTATCAAAATATGTAGAAAACCCTGCACCCAAGGGTGTGGCCTAGTAGTCAATGAAGTGAGTGAGAACCATTAGGTCTCAGGTTCAAATCCAAGTGGAGGCAAATACTAGGTGATTTCTTCCCATCTATCCAAGCCTTGGTGGATAGAGTTACCTGGTACCTGTTGCCGGTGGGAGGTGTCAGGTATCCCGTGGAATTAGTCGAGGTGCGCGCAAGCTGGTCCGGACACCACGGTTATCAAAAAAAAAAAATGTAGAAAACCCTCAAGAGTTCTTAAACAACACTACTTTTTTCTCAGTCAGGACTCACGATAACTAAGAGTCCAACTGAGGCCTATGCTAAGAAGTAGGTGGCAATGGCCTTGCAATTATCTTAGACCTACAAGTTTTAGAATTCCCTCCTCATTTCACAGCCAAGGGTCATGATGGCATGATCGGAAAGAGCACGTCTAGGGTCGACACTACATAAGTAGAAGGTATGTAAGAATATGCAAGAACGCCTTGCACTTATCTTAGTTAACTTGTTAGCTTTTACACCCAAATGATCCCAGAAAGTGCAAAGAAAATAAAGGGAAGAAAATATACGGGCAGAACCTACACCCCATCTCTTTCATCAGAGACGGATCCGTGATTTAAATTATATAGGTTTCAACGTTAAGGTTCTTATCATTGAACCCATTGTATTTTTCAATTTATGGGTTCATATCTACTATTTGTTGTAATTTTAGTAAATTTTTACATATAAATTTATGCTCCGCATCGAAAGTTATGGGTTCAGTTGAAACCGGTGTTAGAAGGCTAGATCTGCCATTGTCTTTCACCTTGGGGTGGTATCCTGGAGGTGGATGCAGCTTTGGAGCATGTCCTGCCCCCCTTTTTTTGTTGTGATAGGTGCAAGTACACGGCTTTGAAGAATCTCAAAGTAAAACAAAAACCAAACCATATGTAACCGTTCCTTAAGAACAAAATCGAAACCACTGTATCTAGCAGGAAACCTTTCTTCATGTTGGATTAATTTGTGGGTGGTTTCGATAATTTTACATAAACTAGAATATTTTAATTAACTAGTCAAATTTCCCTTGTCCTTACAGCAGTTTGAAGCTTGTTGTTCGATGCTTGTGGGCGAACTTTACTCCAAATTCCCTTTTACCTATGTGTTCGAAAAATTGGAACTTTCTTTTAGTGTTTTTTACAAATAAAATAAACCTAAACTTGTCCGTGTGAACTTGCTCACATGGTCTGTCCCAAGCCCAAATGAAAAATGAGGACGAGTAGGGTGATAGCTTGAGTAAAACTAGTCAAATTATGATGAATCTAAACAATCAACAGAAGAAAAACAAATTTATATAAGCCAATATATTTGCTTAGTCATGTATGTAAGCTTATATTGCATCCAGTGTTTGCTAGGGGTCTTTTAATCTTGTTCGAGATTTTCTTATAAAAAATGTAGAGAACTCCGAATTCTAAGAATCTATATTATGGAATATTGGAATAAAATGAGTCGGAATGGAGAATATTGAAGATTCATAAAACTGACCCTAACTAGCTTAAGATTAAGGCGCAATTGTTTATGTTTACAAATAAAACAAACCTAAAGCATTTCATAAGTTTGAAAATAACAAACTCAACCACTAAAAGAAACCATCAACCTGTGGCGACTTGCTTTGGTTTATTTTGGACAATTTGGGCGGTTTCATGGTTTCTTTGTTCCCCGCTAGTTATTCCCTCCGAGTAAAGATATTAAAATTAATCAACACACATATAAAATGAATGATCTTCCAAAAGAAAGTTACCTCATTGTCATTGCTTGCCTTCCCCTTGCCACCAAATAAGCATACAGTTCTGCACAGCTGCGGTCTGTATACAACTACTTTCGCAATAAGGGAGGTTTTCGGGAGTCTTGTGCCCAGATAAGTTGAAGATAGTGTCGTCAGTTTTGAAGTCCTTTTTGGAGCAGTGAGTGATGGAAAGGAAGCATTGAAGTTGGAGGCAGGATGGCAACTGTTTATGCGAACGCAGCTCATCTCATCAAATAACCAGTCACTTACAAGACCTAATCACATCATTCAACAAGGGCGGCTCTAGGGTAAGGCAAGTGAAGCCCTTGCCTTAGGCCCCCAAATATTTAAGGCCCCAAAAATAAGAAACACTATTATATTATTACTAGATGGGATTGGCCCGTGCAAGCCCGGGCCCAACACTTTGGACAAATAATATTGTGAAAATGCGTATGGCACATATTTCTGTTATGCTCGTATAAAGCAGACAACAACAATGACAGAAACACAAACTGCAAGTATCAATTCGAACAAAAATAAGTAATAAATTTTCTTTCCTCTCTCTTTCTGTTTCTAAATTGAGCAAAAACCAGAGCCTTTTCCTTCTCATCACTTTTAGCTTTTGCTTTGCAGATTCATGAAATCCATCAAAGAAGTTGGGTAGGGAGGATGACTGGAATTGTCTAGATAAAGTGAGATCAATAGGCACCTCATCTAAACAGCTTATGCAGTAGAACAACATGGACTGGTAGGAGACCTTTGTAGACAGAGTTAACCAGCTTTATTTGCAAAATAATTAACACAAGCAGAAAGAAAAACAATTTAAAGTAAACCAACTAAGAGAGTACCCTAAGATAATCATAAAGATAACTATTTCCAGGTAAGAGTATTCTCTTAGATAACACTGCTTCCTTTCATTTCTACATGGTGCCAAAAATTAAATATCACTGCTTCCTCCCATTTCTACATGGTGCCAAATTTTAACCCCAAATAAAAGAAACTAATAATTATTGAAACGAAATTAATCACCGGAAGTTAAAATCGAGATGATCTTTACAGAAAAAAGCAATTTAATGCGATGAACCAAAAAAAAACAGGATAAATGAATCTGGAGAAGACAGAAAACCAATTTGTTTAAGTCTTGTGGGAATTTGAAGTTACTAATTTAGAAACTTTATATATCATGGGAAGTTAGAAGTTATTCATGAGTACGCTTTCCATCAGCTTTAAGTTTGAAGAATGGAAGGAGCACTACTTTATACAATCGCTATAAGCAGTCAGTTTAAACATGTTCAAAACAAATAGTGCGCGCATTTTAATTCTCCATGTCTACATAGAGTGATTACTCACTGCTGGTTTGGTATAGTATCTGAGCTGCTGAGAAGCTATGAGAAAAGAGAGGATCAATGCTACCAAGACAAAGCATCCTGCATTAGCAGGGCAAACTTGGAGATCTTTATATAGGTTCACATAGAAACAGAAAAATGTTAGCATTCATAACTTGTAGACCCTTGATCTTTTAGAAAAAGAAAATAAATTGAGACAGAAGAAATGCATGGTTTAGCAGTTTTAGCAACACAATTTCAGTAGCCAAGACCATTTTGCAGGGGTAGACCACCAACATAGTGTACAACATCTATTTAGTAGATTTAATGGGAAGACAATCTTCAACAGTTTAAATCGCTTACTTTGAAATTTGATGAACAACGACAATAACATTTACGCGAATCAAGAAGAGATGAAAATACCTGCAAGTTTGCAGATTCACCTTTTTCACCTTTAGCTTCAGATATTGGTTTTTCTGCAAGGACCTGCATTTTGTAAGAATGAATTATACATGTAACTATGGTATTCATTAACGAGCAGCTTGAAAGGTAAACTCTCTCGAAAATAAATTTGCAACTCCTGGTTTATCAAGTAACACAGATATGATATTTTTACAAATCAAAAAAATATATTCATTAACTGGCAGCTTGAAAGGTAAACTTTCTTGAAAACAGGTTGCAACTCCAGCTCCACCAAGTAACACAGATGTTGATAGTTTGACAAATCAGGAATAACGGTCTCACTTCTAATCAAGAACAAAAAGTTTTTCATAATTCTTGATACCAACTTATACTCCCAAAAGTTAGTAGCTAAAAGATTTATCACAGAACGAAAATAATAAAATCAAAATACTGACTAGCAACTGTACAACTTCTCTTTTTTTCTCAAAGCTGAATATGATAACAAAGAGTGCAAGAAGACAGACAATCACATAAAAAGACAACTCAACAAATTTATCAGGACCTTATCTCCAAACATAGTCCATCCAGAGCTTCGACTTTATTATCCACGATTACAAGGTATCCGACTTTAAGGAGATCCAATAGGCATAACATCTCCCTCCCTCCCTCTATCTATCTATCTATCTTTATCTCTATCTAGCTAGCTATAAAAAATTATTTAGCATTACAAGTTTATTATAACAGAGAAGAACAAATTCATTATGAGTAAAATATTGAGAAGACAACGAATGCTCCTTTTTCTCATGAGTTATACAACATGAGTTTTGTGAAAGATTAAGTCTAAATGTTGATGAAAGTGGTTTATATATTGAGAAGGTGCAGTTTCTTCAAGGTTAGGTTCGGTTATTTCCGGTTTAGTTTTTCGGTTATTAACGGTGCAAGATTTTTATGTGTTGACTCATGACTGCTCGCTTTCTGTTACATTGAAGCATTGGAATAAGCTTTCTGTTACATTGGAAATTTGGAATAAGTCTTGTGGTGCCCCATTATATAAAAGCAGGCAGCAGCTAATGGCTAATGCAAACATGCAATTGCCTTGGCTTCGTTACCTTTCTCAAAAAAGCTAATGCAATTGCCTCTAAAATACTCTCAACACAATGCAATTTCTTTTTATGCACTGCAAATTTATGCACATTAGAACTCAGAAGAAGGAGGGAACTAGGGAAAAGGTTACTTCTTGCATATCTGGTAACCTGAGGAAGAACGATAGAGTACGAGGCGTTGAGGCGACGAGCGGCGGAAGAGGAAGAAGGCGTCGGCACTCGGCACTCGGCATTAGGCAGCAGGCGCAGCAGCCAGCAAGAGGAGGAAGGAAGTCAGCCAGCCAGGAACCCTAATTAGAAATTGTGAAATGGAACTATGGAAGTAGGAATCTGTAAGATAGCAATTAGACTTGTTAATTTTGGGCTTCAGATTTGTGGGTATTGGGTAATACAAATTGGGCTAAATAGGAGGTGGGTTTGAGCCTAATGGTTAATACTTAATAACTTAAAACTTGCTGGCAGTGGCTGCTGTGCCTTCCTAGTCCCTCTTTACTTTAGTATTAAATTATAAATAACTTAAATATTACCCAAAACTTCGTTTTTTCGGTTAACAGAAACACCAAAATCATTAATCGCATCGAATACCGAAATTTAAAAATATATAAACCGCACACCGACCGAATAACCGATTAAACCGACATCGAAAAATCGAAATTTATGGTTCGGCCGATTTTTTCGGTTCGGTCGGTATTATGCCCACCTTTAATATATATGTGTATACGTACTAATAAAAAATATATATAATTAAAATTTGGCTTTAGGCCACTGATTTTATGGAGCCTCCCTTGCATTCAAAACAGTAGTTTCAGCAAATCAATGTACATTTTTTCCCTACATTTAATGATTTAATAGAAGTAATGCTTTACCCCAAAAAAAAAAAAAAAAACTAAAATCTTATATGCCAAAACCCTAAAACACTTCTTTGAGTCCTGAACTTGTCAAACCTTAAATATTGAGGATTTTACATACTTCGGCAAATTGAAGTTTTGAATTCGAACTTTTGTAATCAGAATCACACAGCAAGAAGTAAAAAACTGAATCTTAAGGAGGAGAATATAGAGTTTACCAGAGAAATTAGACGTCGGCGGACGAAGTGAGCACTGAGCAGAGATACAGTCACCGGAGTTAATTTCGGCAACAGAGATAATAAGATAAAGTGGCGTTACTATCAGTGCAACCTGCCTACAATAATAGGGTGTTTGGGTGGATTTTTTACTTAATCATTTTAGTTTTGGTATACATAAAAAGTGTTTTTAAGTCAAAACATGCTAAAAATTATACTAGTACATAAAAGCATTCGGCTCCTTTTCCTTTTTTACTAAATTAAAACTTTTTTCTACGGAAATTTTGATTTTGTAGTCTACTACAAGTGTTATTTAATTTATGATAATTTTCTACAATAAAGTAATAAACAATAAACGAAATCCATAAATAAAAAAAAAAAAAATTTTACATAAGCTCGTTTTCTTCTAATTGTAAATGCTTAGGAAATCATTCCTTACTTTTGGATACTCAAAATAGTCAATTAATTAAATGTATATGTCTATCTATCTTAGGTGTGGTAAATAATCTTTTAGAAAATAAAAGTACAGGTACGAGTAAATGAAGGATAGTAGACATCAAGTTTGGCTTTGAGAACAAAATATCACATGTGTTTAGGTCTCTACTAAACATTATTTGTAAAGTATGCAAATACTATTTGAATGTTCTTTAACAATTTTAACATCGGAAGAAAATAAAATTTAAAGTCAAAAAAAAATTATGAGTAATGAGAATATTAAAATTTATAATAAGGAGACTCTTTTTAGGTTTGTCAATATGCCTCAACGATAGACTTTTCACTTGATTCCCTAATAGCTAGATTGTTTCATTGTTGATTATATATTCGCTAGCTCTTTTAGATCTCTTATGAAAAATAATTTCATTAGGTCATTTCAATAAATGCTCTGTATTGATTGAGCTTTCTTAGTATTAGTTAGAAAGTTCTTAATACGTCAAATATTCAACGATTGTAAAACGTTATATATATCAAGATAGTTGATACATTTTTTTGGCACAATTAAGGGGTGTGAACAGGAGGATTTAAGACACAACTTTTTTCAAAAAATATATTTTTTCTATATTACAATCGAGATCATAATTTTAATCAAAATAAGTTTTTGCTAAAATTCAAAGATCTATGAATTAAAATTGAAAATTATTTTCATAATATTCGTCATTTGAAAAGTCTATTAGTTAACGAATTGTGAATGGTGAGTTCACTAATAATTAAAAACTCCAAAATTAAAAGACCGACATTACTTATACACACAATACAAATATTTATAAAATTTGGGATTAAATAAAATTTATGATGCTTTAGTAATTAGATTGAAAATGGTTGTCATGTTATACGAGTGAGATATGACTAAGATTTTTTTATGTGTTTGTTAAATTCATGCAATCATGCAAAATATAGCATGTATATATATGAGGGAATTATTTCTTAAATATATCATAGCATGACAAATTTTTTAAATCACACGGTCTGTAAAACTACGATGACATTTTTTTATTTTTTAATGTTGAATTTTTCTTTCTTTTAAAATTGCATAAAATTTAGAATCTTCATATTTAATCGTCAAGACACGTTTAAATAAAGCACATAGTAAAAAATGACAAAAGAAGAACGGAAAAAACCATAAAAATTGAAACTAATGTTATAAAATATAACTCAAAGTAACAATATAGAATAAGGAAAAACAAGCTAAGAGATATATAGAGAAAGAGAGAAGAGATTCGTATTTCTTCTTCAATTGTGTGTATTTTTCTATCTATTACAAGGCCTTTATACAAGTATGAAAAGTGAATAAAATATGTCATTGAATATGTCATTAAGCATTTGAGATGAAGATCATGGAGGAAGAGTAGGCATCCACCATAATTTGATATTTCTTATAACACTCCCCCTTGGATGTCCATAGATAATGTATCTCGTAAAAACCTTATTAGGAAAAAAAAATTCTAGTGAAGAAAAAAGAGTACACGTGTTTAGGAATACGCTTTTTGGTTGCCTCATTAAAAACCTTGCAAGGAAAATCGAGTGGGACAAAATCTTGTAAGAGAAAAAAAGTACACCGTGTATTAACTTCCCCTGATGAGAGCATCAATTCACATCCTTAAGCATTCTCATCCCAATCTTGTACACTAGTTTCTTGAAGGTTGACGTCGGTAGAGATTTGGTAAACAAATCGGCCATATTATCACTTTAACAGATCTGTTGCACACTGATATCACCATTCTTTTGAAGATCATGTGTGAAAAATAACTTTGGTGAAATGTGTTTTGTTCTATCTCCTTTTATTAATCCTCCCTTCAATTAAGCCATGCATGCTGCATTGACTTCATACAAATTGGTGGGTAGTTTGTCACACTTTAAACCACATTTGTCTCGAATTAGGTGTATTGTAGACCTCAACCATACACATTCTCGGCTTGCTTCATGAATAGCAATTATCTTAGCATGATTAGATGAAGTAGCCACGATTGATTGCTTAGTTGATCGCCAAGATATTGCAATGCCTCCACATGTAAACACATAGTATGTTTGAGATCGAGCCTTATGTGGGTCAGATAAATACCCATCATCGGCATGACCAACAAGATCGGGACTGCAATCATTGCCATAAAATAAGCCTATATCGGTAGTCCCTTTTAGATACCACAATATGTGTTTGATTCCATTCCAATGTCTCCTTGTATGAGCAGAGCTATATCTTGCTAAGACATTAACTGAAAAAGTTATGTCAGGCCTTGTAGTGTTAGCAAGATACATTAGTGCACCAATTGCAGCAAGATATGGTACTTCAGGACCAAGAAGCTCTTCATTCTTTTCTTGAGGTCGGAACGGGTCCTTATTCACATCAAGTGATCGAACAACCATCGAAGTACTCAATGGATGTGCTCCATCCATGTAAAACTATTCCAATACATTTTCTATGTAGGCAAATTGATGAACAAAAATCTCGTTTGCCAAATATTCAATTTGCAAGCCGAGACATAATTTTGTCTTTCCGAGATCTTTCATCTCGAATTCATTCTTTAAATAATCAATTGCCTTTTGGAGTTCTGTAGGAGTTCCAATCAGGTTTATGTCGTCAACATATACGTAAAGTACAACAAACTCCGATGTTGTTTTTTTTATAAAAATACATGGACAAATGGCATCATTTATATAACCTTCCTTTAATAAATATTCACTAAGGCGGTTATACCGCATTCTTCCTAATTACTTTAGACCATACAAAGATCTTTGCAATTTGATTGAAAAGATTTCCCTGGATTTTGAATTATGTGCGTCAAGCATTTTAAATCCATCGAAAATTTTCATATATATCTCATTATAAAGTGAGTCGTAAAGGTAGGCTGTAACCACATCCATTAAATGCATGCCAAGCTTTTCATGGACAGGAAGACTAATGAGATAACGGAACGTTATAGCATCCATAACAGGAGAATACATCTCTTCATAATCGACACCAGGCCTTTGTGATAATCCTTGTGCAATAAGGCGTGCCTTATATCTTTGTACCTCATTTTTCTCATTCCTTTTACGTGCAAAGACCCATTTATAGCCAACATGTTTAACACCATTATGTGTTTGGACTACAGACCCAGAAACTTCACGTTTTGCAAGTGAATCCAACTCATATTGGATTGTTTCTTGCCATTTTGGCCAATCACGTCTTTGTCGACATTCTCCAACGGATTGAGGTTCAAGATCCTCATTATCTTGCATAATGCTAGATACAACATTATATGCAAATACATAATCCACAACTATATTCAATCGATTCAAATTTGTCTCAATATCGATTGAGTTTATTGATAGTTCCTTATTTTCTTGAGTCTCAGGCTCATTGATTTCCTCATGAATTTCAGGATTGGTTAAATCATGGGTTTCTTTATGAGATTCATTCGTAGTATCGTCTTGATTATTTATTTTCCTTTTTCTAGGATTTCGATCCTTAGAACCCAACGGTCTGCCACACTTTAGGCGTACTTTTGACTCAGTAGCTATGACACTAGAAGATTGTCCAACAGGGACATCAATACGGATTGGAACATTCTATGCATGGATATGTGATTTTGTTATCCCTTTCACATCCGTAAATGCATCTGGCATTTGATTTGCTATTTTCTGCAAATGGATAATCTTTTGCACATCTTTTTCACAAATAGAGGCACGTGGATCAAGATGAGACAATGATGTATTTTTTCACAAAATTTCACGTTTGGTTTCACCAATTTCTCCCCCTAATTTTGGGGAAAATGTCTCATCGAATCGACAATCTGCAAATCGAGAAGTGAACAAATCTCCCATTAATGCTTCAAGGTAAGAATAATGGAGGGCGATTCAAACCCAACATATATTCCTAACCTTCTTTGGGGACCCATATTGATGCGATATGGCGGTGCTACAAGCACATATACAACGCATCCAAAAATTCTTAGATGGGATATATTAGGTTCATGACCCAAAACTAATTGCAACGGAAAATATTTATGATAATTTGTCGGTCTGAGACGAATTAGCATTGCTGCACGCAAAATGGCATGACCCCAAACAGAGGTGGGTAATTTCGTTTTCATGAGTAACAGTCTTGCTATTAATTGCAAACGTTTAATCAAAGACTCTGCAAGGCCATTTTGAGTGTGAACATGAGCTACAAGATGTTCCATTTTTATCCTAATTGATAAGCAATAATCATTAAATACTTGGGATGAAAATTAAGCACCATTATCAAGTCGAATAGACTTAATTGGATTATCGAAAAACTGTGCCCGGAGTCGAATTATTTGTGCCATTAATTTTGCAAACGCCAGGTTACGAGATGACAATAGGCACACACGAGACCATCTAGAGGATGCGTCTATTAAGACCATAAAATACCTAAACGACCCACTAGGTGGGTGAATAGGTCCACAGATATCCCCTTGTATACGTTCAAAAAACGCAGGGGACTCAATCCCAACTTTTATTGGTGATGGTCTAATAATTAACTTGCCTTGATAACAATAAGTGCAAGAAAAAAATATTACTTAAAAGAATCTTTAAATTCTTTAATGGATGCCCATTTGAGTTTTCTATAATTCGTCTCATCATAATTGATCCAGGATGTCCCAATCGATCATGCCAAAGTACAAAAGTATTGGAATCAGTAACCTTTTGGTTTACGATAGAATGTGCCTCAATTGCACTAATTCTTGTCCAATACATACCATGAGATAAAATAGGAACTTCTCAATAACCCTTTTCTGGCCAGAGACATTCTCGGTAACGACGAGATATTCGATATTAATCTCATATATTGTCTCAATATGAAATCCATTTCGACGGATATCTTTAAAACTCAACAAGTTCCTCTTGGACTTGGAGGAGAACATTTCATTCTCTATGATAAGTATTGTTCCATTAGGCAGAGTTATAGTGGCTATTCTAGAGCCTTAAATTAGATTACTACTACCAAAAATTGTAGTAACATCTCCCTTAGACATACCTAAATGAGAGAAATATTTTTTCTATTTGAATATTGTATGTATCGTACATGAATCAATTAAGCAAATATTTTTACAATTGAAATTTGATCCAAGTTTGCTTTGAGAGATATCCATATTTTCTTCCCATGGTTTGACATATAAAAGAAGTATATGAATAAATATTAGTATTTTTAGAGAAAAAGGAAAAGAAATAAAGTTAAACCAATAATTCAATAGTGATCTTTTAGTGTATTTTCTGGCAAATTCTAATTATTATACAAATAATTACGCAGCAAAAATAATACAATTACAAGTACATTACACATATGACTAATACAACTATAACAAATTTATTTACATGTATAAGTTATTTGTATTTTTCTACACATTGTGTGAAAAATAATTGATCCGTGTAAGAAAAGAACATATTTAGCTGCTTCTCTTTTCTTTATTCATAATATTTCAGCCATGTATATGAAAAAGAAATTGAGGGTGAAGTAACAAAAGTTGTTCTAGGGTGCTTGTAAACCTTTTCTTAAAGAGAATTAAAGTAACGTAAAGAAAAATCAAAAGCGTTAAAAGATTACTGAGACTAGGACCCTAATTACTTAGATATTACTCATTGTTTTGTGAAATTTATGGAATCTCGGAAATACATATATTTTTAAGAACTACATAAGAAATATTATTATGTGCAATAAAAATTACAAGATGTTTATTCATTAGATACTACGAATAGGAAAACATAAAAACCAAACTGCTCAATCATCTTTAACCACAGATCCATCACCGATCGAGTGGTTTATTTTTCCACCCGAGCGCTCAAAAAAATATGCCACGTCCAAGTGGGTGATGTCAAATTCATTATCATAGACAAAATTAACTTCGGGGGCTTTATTATTTAGAGATGCTTGATAAAGCTCAACCAAATATTGTAGTATGCGACAAATATTTGCCCAATGCCCTTTTCCACCGCAACGATAACATTCGGTTTCTGAACTATTTGCCTTTGGCCCTTTCCACTTTTGGCGATTATTTTTCTTTAGGGGGTGATTAACACCAGAAAAAATTCTTCTTTGGCCACGGCCACGACCATGACCACGAACAGGGCCACGACCTTTTTCACGTTTAGAATAATGAGAATACACCTCATTTCATTTCAAGTAATGGTGTAGACCCAGTGGGTCGATTTTCGTGATTTCTCATGAGCAAGTCGTTGTTTCGTTCAGCCACAAGGAGAAGAGAAATCAACTTAGAATACTTCTTGAAACCTTTCTCTCTGTATTGTTGTTGCAAGACCATATTGGAGGCATGAAACGTTGTGAACGTTTTTTCAAGCATATCATAGTCAGTGACAATATCTCAACAGAGTTTCAATTTAGAAGTAATTCTGAACATCACAGAATTATATTCAGAAACATACTTAAAGTCTTGGAGCCTCAGATGAGCCTAATCATATCGTGCATGTGGAAGAGTGACCAACTTTAAGTTGTCATATCTTTCCTTTAAGCCATTTCACAAAACAAGTGGATACTTGACTGTGAGATATTCTATCTTCAACCCTTCATCAGGGTGATGGCGCAAGAAAATCAAGGCCTTAGCACATTCATGGGTAGATCTTTATTTCTATCTTTAATGGCATCTCCAAGACCCATTGCATCTAAATGGATTTCAGCATCTAACACCCATGTCATATAGTTCTTGCCCGAAATTTCAAGGGCAACGAACTTTCTTTTCATAATATGAGTCATAATTAAAAGAGGAGAAACGTTATACCTTAGTCTTCTCAAATAGCTTCTTGAGACGGTAGAGTCTCGTGCTGATAACATGTTATAAAATATAACTCAAAGTAATAATATATAACAAGGAAAAACAAGCTAAGAGATATATAGAGAAATGGAGAATAGATTCTTATTTCTTCTTCAATTGTGTGTATTTTCTTATCTATTACAAGGCCTTTATATATGCATGAATAGTGAAGAAAATATGTCATTGAATATGTATTTGATATTTTTTATAACAACTAACAAATTGTTCTTCTAGTCTTCAATTAAAAAGTAAACTTGTTCTTTTACGTGTAGGTTGATCTGATTTATATTTAGTTGTTTTAATTTTTTATAGGTAGAAATCTATTGCAGTAATCTATTTTTTTTATTAAAATAATACAGTAAAAGGTGAAAATTTGTCGGAATACAAAAAGTAAAAAACATTTAACTAAAAAGAAGAGAAATGAAAAAAAAGAAAAGTTCCGGATGCACAAATAGAGAAAAAATGGTGCAAGAGAAACAGAAATCGCCGCGCTGAAGCATTTTCAGTCCGCCATTGGCGCGAGCTTCCTCTTAGACAAAGCTATAAATAAATCAACTCAATTTACCAGCTTATTTGGGCGCCAACCCCTTTCACCATGTTTCGAAGGTAAACCTAAAGCAAATCTGAATTTGTACCGTATCAATATCTACTCTAATATTCATAGGTTTTGTTCATTAATTAGGTTATTAAGAACATAAATTATGCTAATTCTTCCGGATTATGGATAGTTAGTTTGTGATTGTCCATATTATTATTGATTTTACTAATTAAAAACACTAGTAGTATTAATTTTACAAAACTATTTGAATTAAACGAATTAGGGTTCTGAGATGAATTTTTGTTGCTTGAAATGAGAACAAAGTCGTTGAGCTAATTTCTTCTACTTTTCTTTTTTAGGTCCATCCTGCGACTTTCGGCTGGTCAATCAGTAAAAAGAATTCCAATAGAGGTTACAACACAGGTACTTTTAGACTATCCTCTTATTTTCATGTAAAATCAGATAAAGATGTTCTCTATTATTTATTTATTTACTATTTGTTTATCTTTTGTCGGTGCTGGGGAGCCAAACAAAATTTATTGATTGGTGATTAACATATCTCCGGCACTTTTGGTGTATCACATTATGCAGCAGCTTTGTATGGTGTCTCCATTTCATGATTACCATTATGGAAATAAATGTTGGGTGGTGTTAATGAAGTAAATTTGTTATCTTCTGCCACCCATTATAGTAATTTTAACTAGTTTATGAGGATATTGGATTTGCATAATGAAATACTCCTAATTAAGTGGTGCTGGCTATACATATAGATGCTGAGTATTTGGCTTTCAGACAAAGGCACAGGGAAAAGGTTTTGTTCATTAAAGTTTAAAAGAAGGTGGATCATAGGTGATGGTTGTTAATCTAGTTGGAAGCACAGATGAAGGATGAGAGAAGATGTTCCATAAAGGGCGCGGTCCTTAAAAGTTTCCTGTTTAAGTGAATATGTGGTGATTATCTTATCTTTTCTTTTGCTTTCCTCCTTAGCACAAGCAATGAGGGATTAGGGAGGGAAATGTGAAGGGAAATGCAGTCTTGGGTGGGTATCACATTTTCGTCTACTGTAACATAAGTAAAATTGGAAAAGAACATAACCAAAAATTTGTTGGATGTTAGCATTCTGTACTAGTTTGTGTTATTTTCTTCTTTGCAAAATTGAATACCCAAGCCATTGTTGGCATAGAGAAGTTTTTCTGAAGAGTTCACTACAGAAGGTAAACATATATATCTTTGGTTAACGAAATAAAACAACTTTCTGAAAGACAAACATAAAGCTAAAAAAAAACAACCAAAAGACTGTCAACCAAAAAAACTTACTCCTACTATAATCCAAATATTTTTGAATGTTATCTCTACGACTATTTTTATGAGCTTTTACCTTTTTCTATTTTGACCTATTTTTCCATCTTTGACATTAATTTATCTTTTTTGTAATTTGTTTTATCTTTTGTTAAGATAAATAATTTTATTGATTTGAAAAACTCTCGTGTACAAGTAGTTTACCAAAAAAAATGAGAGCACACACCAAAATATAGTTTTGTACGATGACACACAATCTTATGTACAAACAGGAACCTCATAGGTGCAAAAGCTAATTAAGAATTATTGGCTTCTCCTTAAATATAGAAAGAAAAAATATAGGAAGTTATTTTCTATCCCCTCAAAAGTTATGCTATTTCTTCCCTTTCATAGGACCCGCATGATAGCTAGACGGGCATCATTATATGCCCTAACATCTTCTGTTCCTTCTTATAAAGGCTCAGTCATGTAGCGCATGCTTAGTTGACATAACGTCATCGAATGCACCCTGAACCAATTCAGAGCTACCTTCCTCACCAAAAATCTGTGATGGCATGGCTTTATTGTAAACATTTCATAGCTCCTTGCACCTAACTTCCACTAGTCATGTCCATGGAATGTGGCGTTCTATTTGTAGAGCTTATTGATCAGCATTTTGAAATTCATTATCTTGATGACCACTTAAAGGTCTGTCACCTCAAGTCCTTCCCTATTATTGTAGTCGTTGTACTCTCCAATTGACCAAGTGATACTTGCCAGTTTCATCTGCCGAATGGGCCTTTCCACCTTTTCCATCATACTAGTGTTGTAAATAGCGCTCGCCTCAGTGCTAATAGCGTGAGGCGATGCGAAGCGGAGGCTTAACGCTATTTTCATCTGAGGCGTAGCATTTTCTGACAAGCGACAGCGAGGCGACGAAGCGGCAACGAGGCGACGAGGCGTGGAGGCGACAGAAGCGTTGCTTTTTTAAACTAAAAAAAATGACAAGAGACATAAATAAAACATTAGGGTTTCTTCTCTTCAAACCACTTCTTCCTCTTTCAGCAGTCAGCACAGCCGCAACTCTTCTTCGAGTTTCAGGTACTGATTTTTCTTCTTTCTTTCTTTTTTCTTCTTTCTTTCTTTTTCTTTTTCCGGCAGTAAGCCCTCTATTTTCTGGCAGCAAGTCCTCTCTTCTTTCTTCTTCCGGCAGTAAATCTTCTTTGTTCTTCTTCTTTGCGGTAGCAACTGATTTCCGGCAACAACTGATTTCCGGCATAAATGTTCTTTCTTTCTTTTCTTTCACCTATGTTTTCTCTCTTTTCTACTCGTCTTTCTTCTTCTGTTTCTCTTTTACTCTATTTTTTCAGTTTTTGTATACAAGTAATTGCATATTAACTTCTCTCTATAATTATAATTAGAATTAACTGTTCTTTTCTCTCTTTAATTACAATTAGTTTCTCTCTTAAACAGTATATTCAATGAAATATTTACTAATATTTTATTATTATTGAGTTTTTGGTTATTTATATATGCAAATTTAATATTTTATTTTTTTTGTATTAATTGGCGCTTCACTGCAAAAAGGCGAGCGCTTCGCTTCTTGCTTCTCGCCTCAGCGAAGCAGGCACTCGTTGCTTTTTATTGCCTCTCGCTATTCAAAACACTGCATCATATTAGATCAATACTTTTCCATCATGCTCTTTTTTAATACTTTTTTCTCCCTTTTGACAAGTACCTCCTTTGCCACGTTGCTTGTCTCTTCTCAAATCTTTGAATTATCAGGTTCCGCACATATTGGTCCTTGTTTAAAGCACCACAAGGCAGTTTGAAGTAAATCGTCAGGAGAGGTCCAGTCCTGCAATCAAACACTTGTACTAGGTTTTCAATATTGTCCATATCGCTCATTAGTATTATCTCACACTTTCTGAGGCAGGTCTTGAGTCCTGACACTTTATGGAACCATACAATGATCTATCTCAAGGATGTCAACTGGGAAATATCTGCATCGCAGAACACCAATGTGCCATCCATGAATATAGGTGTGATTGATTGTCACTCTACTCTGTTTCCCGATCGAAACAGTGAACCCCTCAAATAGCCTGCTGCAACTGCTGTGTGCATCATTTTGCTCAAAGGTTTTATTACTAAGGTGAACAACATAAGAGATAACGGGTCTTCCTACTACACGTCCCTTGAGCTTCCAAAGAACCAAATGAGCTTCCATTTACTAAGACAATTTTTTTGTTTGTTCAGATACAAGACTTGATCTACTTACTCCATCGATCCATGAACACATTTCCTCATTGCAACAGAATCCAAGAACTGTTAATTCACATGATCATATGCCTTCTCAAGGTCAATTTTGCACAAAATCCCGGGCTTTCCCTCCGTACTCCTTGATCCACTGTTGCGTTTGTCACCAAAGTCACGTCTCAAATCTCTCTCCCTCTCACAAACACGTGATCTCTGAACTCTTCATAATTCTCCTAGCCACCGCGAACAAGATCATAGCTTCCGAGTTGGCGAGTTCCGACTAGCCGACCCATCTAACGAAGTGTCTAACTAGGCTATTTCTCAACAAACAAAAAGCCTTTGCTCTTTTGTTTGTGTTTGTGAGATACACGTAAATGGGTTGTTTTCCAGTTTCCAATCTTTTGCAGTTTCTTTCCAAATCTAGCATTAGTCATGTCAAACAATCTTTGTATGTATGTAGTTTGAGCTTTTGAGCCTATTGAGAGATAAACAAGCCATCCTCTGAATCCTATCAAATTAACTCCAAACGACACCAATTTTTATAGACAAGTTCTAAATACCATAACTGACCTATTCCAAGTCCCAAAATCAAATTCCAAGCTCGAAAGCTAAAAGTTAACCTACTGTCAAACTTTTTAACTTCAAATAGCTATGTTTCGCCAAATTAATCTACGGACTTCCGAAATCAATTTCAGGCATACGCCTAAGTAGGAAATCACGATACGAAACTATCGAAGCCATCAAAATACGGTTCTGGGATCTTTTTCACAAAAGTCAAAGTTTGGTCAACATTTCTAATTCGATGAGGACTCAACTACATAGTAGGTACCTAGCCAGTTGCTGAAATTCGGCACATGCACTGGTGTGTAAAGCCCTCTCCCGAAAACCTGCTACTCTGAGTTCAGATTTTTTTATCCCGTGCTGCTTCTTTTAAATGTAAAATTTCTATCATATTTTATCGTTTTTCATAGTGATATATGATACAAACTTACTTTTTCTTCTTGCAGATGTTACTCTAGCAATACTGTTAGAACATTTACGTATTGTATTTGGAGTTAACAATGTAGAAGTTGATTAATAGATTTTGCAAAGTACAGATTTGCCAATTATAGTTTTATGTTGAAAAACATCCAATCCAATACCAATTTTTTCTATTACTTTTATTCAAAAATCAGAGACCTAAACACAAATTGTATCTTGTAAAATAAAACCTGTTCAAATGCCTCCCAGATGTGGGTCTTTCTATGTTTCTTATCAAAATTCTCGAGCTTCAAAAAAAGGTCTGGGCTAAATTTGAAGAAGTCTGCTCCTTGTTGTGTATTTTGCGTTGTTTATAGTGCTTCTTATGACAAGAAGAAGAAAGAACCATTTTTATTAGCTGTGACATGGGCAAACTTGAATATCTTGGGGGTCTCATGGTGACGGGGTAAAATGTGGAACTTTTCAGAATTTTGGATGCTGTAAGTGGTTTTTGTGCTTTTTTGTTTTTTGTTTTTTTGTTTCATTCTCTTACATTAGCATTTTCATAAAGGAAGAGTAAATATGATTTTGAAGAGAGTAAAACGTTGTCTAACCATGAGGTTATGAGTTTGAGTATCTAAGGGAGCAAAAATGGGGGAGAGCCACTGTTAATTGATAAGGAGATTGCCATTGCTGCAGGTTTTGACAAAATGGGCGATGTGTTGGATTGCCTTGTGGGTAAGGGGGTTGTAGGGTAAGGTAGGTTTAGGTTTACCATATCAAAAAAATAAAAAGAAAAATGAAGAAAGAATAAATATTGGACAAACTCTTTTGATTAGTGCTACCAAAATGAGTTGGTGCATTGTTGTTAATTGTGATGCATCATTGGAGGTAGAACAAATCTAATGCCATTGCAGAAAAACACAATGATCTGGCATAAGTGGACCTTCCTGGCAATGCTTAGAATTTTGATTTTAGTCTTCGATTCCCTTGCTTTTTCCTTTTTCCCTTTATCACACGAAAAAAGAAAAAGGAAAAAAAGGATTCATTGCATTTTCTTTGAGTACTGGTGTTATGTCTTACAATAAGTAGATCACATTGAATTTCTGTATACCCATTTGTTTCTCTGTATATTGGTTCAGGTGCCTTCCTATCTTTTTTCCAGAAGAGAGTTCTCAGTCTCACCCAAACAAAATGGGCCACCACGGGGGCCAGGTTCAACTGGCAAGCCCCCAGAGACAGAGAGTCTCTTGCCAAGATTTATTATTGGATCTGTTGCTTTAGGTGCTGGATTTATTGCAGCTTATCAAACTGGATATTTGGATAAATACCTCGTTAAAGAGCCACATTCTACCCCCGAATTAGCCAGGACAGGAACTGCCATTCAAGATGGGAAGGAGCTAAAGGGTAGTAGTGAAGTTTCACAAGATAGTGAAACTTTAGAAAGACCAGATCCTGAGTCTAAATTTGTAGACTCTGATAGTGTGGAGCAAACTGACAAGAACATTGGAACTCTACAAGATCCCCCTGGACCAGAAGAGCCAAGTAAAATGGAAGCAGAAAGTCAATTTCAGTTAAAATATTCACCAGAAACTACTGGTGGAGAAGCCAACTATACTGAAGTAAAAGAATTATCACCCAGCTCCCATCAGGAAAGTGTGACACCTGATGAAACAAGACTTAATTATACTCAATCACCTGAAGACACGTTGGACACAAAGAGCCCAGAGGTAACTACTGATGCCGTGCAGCCTGAGGCAATTGAAATCACTCCAACTCTTACGCAGGCTGATACATTTCAGAAGGAAAATGAGGCTAGTGCCATGCCCCCAGAGCATGTAACCAGTCAAGCCAAGATGGAGGTATAAAGCAACTTGTGCTAACACTTTTAACTTGTGAATTACAAGTTTTTGTCATGGTTCTCTAAAAAGCTACTTTTTGAAGGATGCTCCTCATCATGATGAAAATTCTAATTCCCTCCTTGATCAATACTGTTTAAGAGATGGGGGTGGAGCTACCACTACAGCCTCCTCTGACAAGCATAAGGTATATTCTCCTTCCTCATGCCCTCCCCCCCAGAAAAAAGCAAGAAGGAATAGACAAGGATATGAGGGAGAGAAAATCTCCTATTTGGTTTTCCTTAATCTCTGTGTTATGACTCTGAAGGTTATTGAAGGTCTGGGTGATGCCTATATATCAAAGGATGGAAAATTGGTGCTTGATTTCTTACAAGCGCTTCATGAAGCTGAGAGAAGACAAGCAGAGATAGATGCTCGTTTATTTGCTGAAGAAAAGAAATATATGAAGGTGTGAGACCTTTGGGAATTCAGCACAAATTTGAAAATAGGATGTAACGTTATTGTGGTGATGCTTTACTCTTAAGATTTGTGTTATTTCTTCCGCATGATTTGCTTTTTAACAGTGTTGCTGCTTATCATTGTTGTTATTGTTGTTATTATTATTATTATTAAAACCTTTTCTGCTCACCTGATTTAGGAGAAATATGAAAAGGAACTTAAAGATGCCAGGGCCAGGGAACTAATGTATGCTGAACGAGAGGCTTTACTGGATAAGGTTGTAGCACATTTGTTTCTGGTTTCATATTTTACCCTCATATACGCTGCTGCAGTGCGTCATATCTTTTGTTCTTTATTCAACTATTCATGGCCACATTTCACTTTTTTTTAGGATCACGTGCGTGAATGGTCATCTTGGTTGATGATTTATCATTGCCTCTTCATGATCTTAATCTTTTTGTTGAACTGATTAATGATGGACCACTTTATTAGGAACTGAAAAAAGAAAGAGCAAAAGCCATCGCAGCTTTGAAATCACTTCAAGAAAAATTAGAAGAAGAATATAAGATGGAGCTCGAGGAAAAGGTGCTATTTGATGTTGAAAGTGTTTGCCAACTCTCTTAAGAATATATTTTCTGTCCAGCAGACTTATGGAGATTCGTAATTGCAGGAAGCTGAAGCAGAACTAAAGCTGAAAAAAACTCAGGAGTTAGGTAAAGCAGAACTGGATGCAGCTATTGCAAGTGAGAAAGCATCTCAAATTGAAAAAATGGCTGAAGCCAATCTCCATGTACAGTTTCTTGCTGATATTAATTTTCCACATATAGAAGTTACTCTTTTCATTTGATTTTACACCAATCTTTGTTATGCACATTCCAATTCAACTGAGAGTTAAAAACTTTCACTGCCTTGAAACATCTATACGAGGAGATTTTGGACCACAGTTAATGAAACCAGATAACTTGCTATCCTAAATTCTGTTTAGACCAACACCTGCATCTAGTTTTGTGCTAAACGGAAAAAACTTACTCCATCGTGACTGCTTCAGTAAAGTATTGTCGGTGTACAAAGCTCTCGTTTTGATTCATTTTTGTTTGTCAGATACAAGTACAATGTTTGTCTGATGTGCTTTTGGGAAATAACTGATGTAATTGACTGCAGTTATTTCTTCATTTTTTTTCATGAGTCTGTATTGCTTTATGTATGGGTTCATTTCTTGCTTTGGCTATGGGATTAGATTTCACATGACTGTAAGTTCAATAATGTTTAAGGCAGGAGATGCTTTGTACGTTTGGTGCGAGAACAAATTACATTCTTTGTCATGTTATTTAGCATTCAACGTTTATGGGCTGCTTAACGTATGTTTCTTCCTTCTTCCCAGTAGGAATCTTACTACTTGCAATAAAGGTAAATTGCAGAATTGTCCTAATGCTGAATGCTTGCTGAAAGGTCTATATCATAATCCTTTACAACAACAATAACAATTACGCCTCAATCTATATGAATCATCTTTGTATTTTGTTCCGTTCAGAACCGTTCATACCAATACTCAATAGTTCGGGGTTCTAACTCTAGACTTTCTCTACATACTCCTGGCATAAGAATCTCTAACCATACTAAAATAGCTCCTACCGAACTTTGGACTTGTTGCAAGTGAACCAACCTTGCAAGCTTTAATTCTAACTAGTTGGTGTCACCTACATTGGCTTTTGCTTCCATCCAATTTTTGCTAAGTTGTATGGAGAAATTGTCGGTCTTTAGAAAATAACTTCCTTCCGGCTTCCATATATCTTTAGGTCTCCCTCATCCTCCTTTTTACACCTTAAATTATGATGGTGTCAGTCGGAAAAAAAACTTCATGGTGTCATACTTACAAGTCGGTGCATTTGGAAATTTACGTAGGACATATCCAAACAATCTCATGTGATCTTCTCTTATCTTATCCTGTGCTACTTGCACTTTCTGTGAGATGTTATGATTTTTTATTGTCTAACATGGTGTGAGTGCGTATTCATCTTAACATATGCATCTATGTGATGCTCATCTTGTGAATATGTTAGCATTAGAGGCCCAATATTTTACCCTGAGAAAGCCCAAGATTCACTCCCACATAACATTGCTATTCTTAGAACCGTTCTATAGAACTTGTCTTTCTTTGGTAGGTATCCTCCTACCGCAGAACACTCCAGCAACATTCCGCTTTTTCAAACAATCTTTTCAATTTTATGTGTTGCATCTTCATTTATACCATTCTGAGCATTAACCTAGATATCTTCTTATGCTAGCTAAATTTGCAGTGTATATGTTCGTACGTCTACTTATCTTAAAACACTATTCTCTAGAGTGTTTCTCCATAGTTCATTTGTCTAAGTGCTTGACATTTTCTATGGCTGATTTGATTTGATTTGATTTGAATTGTTATTCTTTTGCAGATAAATGCTCTGTGCATGGCATTTTATGCACGGTCTGAAGAGGCTCGCCAGAGTCATTCTGTTCACAAGCTTGCCCTGGTAACGTATCTACCTCTGCGCTTTTCTTTTTATTTTTCTATTCTCTCTCCTTTTTAAAAAGTGTCTTTTATCCTGAGGTTGGGCGTTAGACAATATATAAATAAATTCCCTCATTCTGAAGAAGAATCTCGCCATCAGGGATGAAATTACATCCTTAATCCAGAGTATTGTTGAACTACTAACAGAATGTTATCGTATATGGTTGCTATATTTCCATCTGCACATATGTTTGTGTATATGGGTTTGTTACATTGCCCTCTCCACATATATGACGCCACTGCAAGACCTCTTACTGGTAGTCCTTTCTTTATGTATATGACTGCCCTGCTAGAATTTGGGAACATCTGGTATCATGTCCAAAAAGTCTAAAGCAAACTTTTAAGTTCAATTCGAATTTTCAGACGATCAATTTCAACTCAACTAGAAACACCTCGGAAGTTGAAAGCCATAAATCAACCATTTTAATACTTGATAACATCCATTCCATCCTTTCTCAGCTGATTTTCAGTTCACTTCTGTTTACTAATCATTGCATGATTGAGGTTGGTGCTACTGGACTCGCTTTGCCCTGGCAAGGAGGTTAGTTAAAGACTCTAATATCTGTTGAATGTCACCTTTTAGAGCCTGTTTGACCAAGCTTCCGGGTGGAAAAAGTACTTTTTGAAAAATTTAAGGTGTTTGGCCAAAATGAAAAAGTACTTTTGAGCAACATAAGCAGTTTTTCCGTTTTGGGGAAAAACTACACATTCTAGCTTCTTCTCCCTAGAAGCAGAAGCAGAGAATCAATTTGTTCAAGACAAAAATAACCTTACGATAAATTTATATTTTCCAAATTATCTCTCATTAACATTTTTCTTTTCCTTTTCCTTTTTCTTTTTATTTCTACTATACATTTCTTCTCTTTTTTATTTTAATCAAATTTTTATTCTCTTTCTCCTGTTCCTAAGAGTAGGTTTTAAATTTATATTGAATGATGTATTTTGAAGTATTTAAATTATCATGTAAACAATATGTAATCCAAACACTCAATGTTATTGCTTTGGAATAACTATATTTTATATTGACTGGAATTTTTAAATTATTATTTTACTTTACGTTTTGTATTTTAATTGAATTCTTTTATAATAGTTATTTAAACTTATTTTCTTTTCTAAATAAAACTAATTGCAAATTAAACCTTTACTCTCCTTTTTCGTAATTTGATACTTAAAAGTACTTTTTTAAAAGATTGACCAAACACAATGAGCTTCAAAAAGCACTACTCAAACGAATTGGCCAAACATAAACTCCTATTTTGCAAAAGTACTTTTTCAAAACGCACTTTTGAATGAAAGCACTTTTCAAAATAAGCAGTTTTTGGCAGCTTGGCCAAACGGGCTCTTAGTAATATCAACCATTGGTTTTCAACATTTCATCTTCGGTCTCTAATTTCCTTAAATTGGTGGTGTTGAAATTTGGAAGGGACTAGTTTTGTGTGTGTGTGTGAGAGAGAGAGAGAGTATTAAGAGAAAGAAATTCAGACTGTAATACAAGGTGATATATTACTCATTTTGACGTTGAAAGTTAAAACCATATTGATGTTACCTTACTGAAAAAGGAACAGAAAAGGGGAGGCTAAAACCATATTGTCAATAAAAACAAATAACTTTTGGAATATACACAGATTATCCATCTAAAATACAAGAAACGTAATGCATCCAACCAGAATAATAGCACAGTGGTTGTTAATGAGGAAGAACGGGGGTGTTCTGACACTGATTTGGTCTTTGTTTGTTGAGCTGTTTAACCAGTTAATTTCTATAATTGTATTGTCAGGCCAACTGCTTAAGTATCCCTTTCTTTTAAGTGTTAGCGAGGGTATTCGAAGGGAAAAAATGGGAACAAACAATGCTAACCCACTTACTCAACCCTGTATAAGTCTACAGGCTATACATGCGATCCTTTGATTGTTTATTGTTGCAGGGGGTGCTTGCTCTGGAAGATGCACTGTCGAGGGGTTTACCAATTCAAAAAGAAATAGAAGTTCTTCACACTTCTCTTGAAGGAATAGATAACAACTCACTGCTGGAATTGGTTCTATCATCTCTTCCTGAGGAAACACGGAGATATGGTTCAGATACTGTTTTACAACTGAATCATAAGGCAAGTATCTGAAGCACTGCGATATTATGCATTGTACTGTGATTTAGTGTTGAACATTTCCTTTTTTTACCAAGTAATAAGATTTTATAAACTATGGGCAGAAAATCACCCATATACAACAAGTATACCAAAAAGTAGAAAACCTTACAAAATGATATGATTTTCACGAACGACACCCAATCTTCTATACCTATAGGGACCTCATGGGTGCACCTAAAGAAAATAAGGGATAGAAGACTATTCCTCAAGTGTAGAAGGTCCTCTCTATTTCATCAAAAGCTCTTCGTACCGGTGTAGGGCTAGTCTCATAATGTCTTGTCTTAGAATGTTAGTAGTACATGTTGTTTTCATACTATTTTTCCGCTCCGGTTTCCTAGTATCTTGCCATTGTTACTGCATGTTGCTATTGCTTTTTCCATCTATTTTTCTGGCTCTTAGGGTGCTGGTACTATCTTTCTGGCCTAGTATCTTGCCATTGTTGTTGTTACCACTAAGTGCAAGTGGAGCAACATCCCACGACTTGTGTCTTCTCTTCCGTCTTCTAGGTCCAGCTAAATAATACATTTCTGATTGTGCCTGACATCACCCATTGAAGATCAAACCAGCATAGTATTTCCCACCACAATCGAGACGCTATCCAGCAACGTAAAAGGAGGTGATTGACGTCTTCACCCGATTCTTTACACATGTGAAATTGCTAGCTGCTTGCAACCTATGTTTTACCAAATATTTTAAAGCCTTGATGGTATATCCACTTAGTAACTTCTCTCTCCCTTCTAGAAGAAAACAAAAAGGAATATTTTTTTTGCTTTTTCCTTTTAGCATAGTGCTCTTCCTGAGTGACACATTGCTGTTTCCTTTTGCTATGTTTTTACTGCTACAACAGGAGAAGTCTTCCCTTCTACGCTGCGTTCTTTTGTTTTCTGAACTTTCATGCTAAGTCCCCAAAAAAAAACAGAAGAACCTGATACAATTACCTTCTCTCCATGTTGGTGAAGAAGAAACCATTAGCAATGGAATGGTACTGAAGGTGATAAATTGGTAAAGCAAAGATCCTCGTTACAAAGGAACTAGATCATTTACAACAACAACGACGACCCAGTAAAGTCCCGCAAGTGGGGTCTGAGGAGGGTAGTGCGTACGCAGACCTTACCTCTACCCTCTACCCTGAGGGGGTAGAGAGGTTGTTTCCGATGGACTCTCGGCTCAAGAAGACGGAAAGAGACAATATATTAGTACCATCAACAAAAACCATAGAAATAATAACAAGATCACAAAAATCAGTAAATAGATGGAAAGCAAACAATAACCAGTAAATAAGACCCGACACTATGAATACGGAAGAGTAGTGTGAACACAACATTGACCACTAGCAATCTAAGACAAAATCCTATCAGATTAGCCTCACATAGTTATGAGTTAGAAATATGCTCAAGTACCTCCTAACCTACAATCTTAATGCTCGACCTCCACAACTTCCTATCGAGGGCCATGTCCTCGGAGATCTGAAGCCCCGCCATATCTTGCGACTCGCATGATCACCTCTCCACAATACTTCTTAGGCCGCCATTTACCTCTCCTCGTATCCACCAACGCCAACCGCTCGCACCTCCTTACCAGGGCATCTGGGCTTCTCCTCTGTACATGCACGAACCATCTGAGCCTCGCTTTCCGCATCTTGTCATCCATGGGAGCCACGCCCACCTTCTCCCGAATATCTTCATTCTTAATCTTATCCATCATAGTGTGCCCGCACATACACCCCAACATCCTCATTTCTGCTACTTTCATCTTCTGGATATGCGAGTTCTTAATTTGCCACACTCAGCCCCATACAACATGGCCGGTCTAACCACCGCTCTATAAAACTTACCTTTGACTAGCGGTGACACTTTCTTGTCACACATGACTCTAGACGCTAACCTCCATTTCATCCACCCCACCCTATACGGTGTGTGACATACTCGTCGATCTCCCCATCCCCCTAGATAACCGACCCAAGGTACTTGAAACTGCCTCTCTTTGGAATGACCTGCGAACCAAGTCTCACGTCGATGCCCGCTTCCCTCGGCTTGACACCGAACTTACACTCAAGATATTCCGTCTTAGTCCTGCTCAACTTGAAACCCTTGAAACCCTTAGAATCAAGGGCCTGTCTCCAAACCTCCAGCCTCTCGTTAACGCCGCTTCGTCTCGTCTATCAGAACTATGTCGTCAGCGAATAACATACACCATGGCACCTCCCCTTGAATATGGTGTGTCAGTGTGCTTATCACCAGGGCAAATAAGAATGGGCTGAGCGCATATCATTGGTGTAATCCCATAGAATCACCTCCCACTGTCTTAACCCGAGTCTTAGCTCCATCATACATGTCCTTAATCGCCCTAATGTAAGCAACCAACACACCTTTAGCCTCTAGACATCTCCAAAGAACCTCTCTAGAAACCTTGTCATACGCTTTCTCCAGATCAATAAACACCATGTGCAGTTCCTCTTCCTATCCATGTACTGTTCCACCAACCTTCGAATAAGTTGGATAGCTTCCGTAGTAGAACGACCCGACATGAACCCGAACTGATTGTCAGATAGACACCGTCCTCCTCACACTCGCTTCTACCACCCTCTACCAAACTTTCATGGTATGACTCAATAATTTGATACCCCTATAATTGTTGCAACTCTGGATATCACCTTTGTTCTTGTACAACGAAACCACCGTACTCCACCTCCACTCATCCGGCATCCTCTTCGTCCTGAAAATAACATTAAACAGCCCAGTCAGCCACTCCAAACCTGCTTTACCCACACTTACAAAATTCTACCTGAATCTCGTCAGGCCCGGTAGCTCTACCCCTGCTCATCTTACGCATGGCACCCACGACTTCCTCAACCTTGATGTGCCTACAGTACCCAAAGTCACGGTGACTCTCGGAATGCCTCAACTCGCCTAGCACAATATCCCGATCCCCTTCTTAATTCATAAGTTTATGAAAATAAGTCTGCCATCTCCGCTTAATCTGGGCCTCTCCCATCAATACTCTACCGTCCTCGTCTTTGATGCACCTCACTTGGTCCGGATCACTGCGTCGCGAGGGTCTCGCCCGGGATAACCTTGCAATCCTTACACAACCCTCTGTCGCACCTCCTAAGGAGAAGATAGTCAATCTGAGTCTTTGCCACCGTACTCTGAAAAGTAACCAAATGCTCCTCCCTCTTCGGAAAACTAGAGTTCACAATCACCAGCTCAAATGCCTTAGCGAAATCCAACAGCAAAATACTTCCTGCGTTCCTATCCTCAAAATCGAAGCCACCATACACCTCGCCATAGCCGCCTGCAGTCGACCCCCCTCTCAGCAGACATAATATTATGCACAATCTCATCCAACCCCTACCAAAATCGCCTCTTAACCTCCTCATCCAAGCTCGCTTGCGGCGCATAAGCGCTAACGACATTTAGGGTGCACTCTTAGATCAACGAATCAGGAGATGACGAGTGAATAGATTGACCTTGAAACAACAACGATTAATTACTGCGCTCCTGGGAAGGGTTCCAACCACCAACTTAATAGACATTAACCAATCATTCACCCGCCTAACCTCTACCACAAACTCTGTAAGTTCCCTATCCACCAAAATACCCACCTCATTCTTACCCTTCGGGACTCCAGAGTACCACAACTTATACTCGTCCGCATCCCTCGCCTTCGATCCTACCCACCTAGTCTCCTGGACATACACTATATTGACCTTCCTCTTCTGGAGGATCTTTGCCAGCTCTATAGACTTACCCGTCAATGTACCTATGTTCCATGACCCAATTCTCAACCTATAGGCTCCCTTGTGCCCCTTACCTCCCTTGCCTCCTGTCCCACCCCTTGTCCCCCGCCCCACCCCCTGGCCTCCTCGAGGACATGACCTTACTCTACCATCCCATACTACAGTCACTATACCTACAAACAGACTAAGGAGAATCACCAACACACCATAGGCAAACGGACCAGACTAGGAGAAAACAAGTTGTAACTACAAGCACGCTAATTATATGATTTAAACAAATACGAACTAAAAAAGCAACAATTTAACTAACACAAAGGAAGAGAAAACAAGAAAGCGGGAGGTACCAACTCCCGGGAATAGAACCTGGAAATTGTCTTGGTGAACACGACGCTGTTGCGGCACCTGGCACGTTCACGTCCAACTTTCACCGCCCCTTACTGCTACTCGCCCTAGGAGCTCTCATATGTTTGCACGCGCGCTCCTCGCTCGTCTCCAATAGCCACCGCGTATTACCTGAAAGATACATAAAACCCAAGAACCAAAAAATGGGCTGCCTCCGCTACCGCTGGTGAAGCCCCAACAGAAACAAAGAAGAGAAAAACAAGAGAAAAGGAGGGAGAAAAAATAGTGGGGGTAATGTCCAAATAGTCTAACACACAAGTACAAAGAAAAGGAAAGAAAGGGAAATAAGTGAAGAACATCATTTAGTTTACAATTTTTACGTAGTGATGCTTTTAATTCATTTATCTGTATGTGAAGTGTTAGAAGAGCTTTAACCCTGGTTCTCTTTGTTGTCCATCCAAGATTAGTGTTGTTCTGAGACCAGCTGTCAGGAAACCTAATCTAATTTGGGACTTCCAAGTTGTATTCCTGTTAATTTAATTCAATTTCAATTTCCACGATTTATAACTTCGTGTAGGACCGGTACTAAAATGAACCTGGGGAAGTTTCAAAGGTGGAACTCCATGGACGCGGTTGCATTGCAGTTTTTGGTTAAACTTCAATTCCTTTCTAAAATATTCTAAGGAAGCTTGTTAGACATTGAATTTTTCCATACCAAATCGGTTTGTATATGGGTGATAAGACTTGCAACCAATTTAGATATGATAATTGTTGTGAAGGTGCCATGATTGTTTGTTGAGAATGACAATGCAAAGAGAATGAGGAAGGGGCACAAAAAGATAAAATATTCTGGGTATGGGGCTAGGGCCAAACTTGACATTACACTGGCCTCTGAGTGGAAGACTGACAAGACTTGTGACGTGTCACAGAGTTACTGCAACAATTGTCTGACCAAAGTCTTCCCCTTGCTTTCCTTTTCGACTGGCATTATCACACCGCCATCACCTGAATTAATATGCCTTGTACAAGTTATTAGTTTGAAAATTGTGGGTTGGCGTAGGACCAGTAGTATTTAAGCTCTAAGGTTTGATATGATTCTTGTTGCCATCTGCAATATGCATGCATTTCCTTGATCTCGTAAAGGTTAACCGCTACTTTGCTAGGGTAACTGATCGGCTAGCTTGCTAGGCCCTGTTATCTCTCACAGTATGAATATGCCAATCAATAGAATGGTTGGCGATGTCAACCTGGGCTCTGAAGCCTTTAAGCAACCCTGATGGAGATGATTCCATATATGTTTTAGGAGAAGACATTCTTCACTTTTCCATTTGATAATCCAGGCTTCAATTTCCTTGGCAACGTAGAATGGATGCCTTCTCATTATCAGTACTTGGAAGCTAAGTCTGCCAACTTGCACGTCAAGTATGCGTTGACTGTCTATGAAGGCCGAGTTTACCTTCTGAGGTTCAAATGCTTGATGTAGTGTTGAAGACATAATTAAGTAAATAGAAATGTGCTCTCTAGCTTTTAGATGAGATTGTCACACACTTCAACATGGTAACAGAGCAAATATTACGACTAAGGGAATGGCGAACGACAAAGAAATTAACCCTGCTAACACCCAAGCCAACGTCACCCAGGATGCCGCTGGCAAGAATGGCTGCAACAGAAAGAGGAGTGTCGTCAATAAGAGCCAGGAGGTGCCGCACAAGGTTGTGTCAAACGAAGGGCTTACGCCCCAAGAACCATCTGCCACTAAGGCGAGCGAGGATGAAGTGGAGGTCCTGCATGAGGGCGTCTCGCTCGGTAAAAAATGAGTTATAGGAGTGGACGTCTTGGTCAACGCTTGGGGAACAATACAAAAAGCTTCTTTTGACAATTCTCTTGTGTTCTTTCTATCATTCCCTTAGCGATTCTTAGTGTCTTAATTTGACTTGAAATAGCAAGATCGTGAGCAAGTTGTGCAAGAACATGAGCGAGTTATCAAGTGTTGCACATGCACTTAGTTTAAGACTAAGTATGGTACCAGAGTAGGCAAAGGTTCTGGGTTCGAGTCTCACCGTCACCCAATATAAAAAACAATTTCCACGTGTTTGACTCATATAAGAGAATCAAGCTCGCACGTGACGGAGCGTGTTGAAGACATAATTAAGTAAGTAGAAGTGTGCTCTCTCTAATAGCTTAAGCTTTTAGATCAGATGGTTAAAGGGTTTCTGAGTGCTTCACTATAGTATAGTTATTGTTGTCCTACCACGGCATATCAGAGTTTGAATTAATTTATGCTTCAAGAATTGAAAGCCTTACAATAGAATTCATTGGACCATTAGTTAAGACCATTTCTTCTGAAGGACTATTGTCACAAAATGGGATTTCACGTTGTTTGCTATCAAATTTAAAGCTAAAGATTTTCCCTAATGTTTGAGCAAGAAGATGCAGTGCTGTCAAAAAAATCCTAGAATTTCCCCTATACAGTTGATATTCTTCTGCAAGCTCGATGGATCTTTTTCTGGTTCCTAATTTCATGACCTGGTTGAATCTTCTCTCTTAAACAATATGCATGACTGTGATCGAGGAGGTTTGGTCACTGTTTAAATTATCCGAGTTTTCTATTTGTCTTTTTGATTATCTAATTAGCATGTCAACAGTTGACTTGTTCCTCAAGAATTGAAACTTAGNGGATAAATAGAGCAGGTTTTTTCTTTATTGGAATTTGTAGCTCTTACATTGAATTCTGCAGATCTTTTATTTGCTGTTACATTTTGTTGCTGATACTTCTACCATGAGCACAACATGGATGGTTCTGTGTCTAATTACTTATCATTTTAACAGTTTGATACATTAAAGGGGACACTTCGTCACTTTAGCCTGATTCCTCCAGGTGGTGGTGGGATATTGACACATTCTTTGGCTAGTGTTGCTTCCTGGTTAAAGGTTTCTTTGCTGTACCCTCCTTTGAGTTAAACTAATCTGATTATTGAAGTTTATTAAGTTCATATGAGATAATTTTGTGTACTGATTTCAGGTAAAGGAGGCTGACCGGTCTGGCGATGGAGTTGAATCCCTCATAAACAGAGTTGAAAGTTTCTTGGCTCAGGGGAAACTATCAGAAGCTGCTGATGCACTTGAGAAGGGTTTAAAGGGCACTCAGGCGGCGGGAGTTGTTGATGATTGGGTTAAGCGTGCTAGGAATAGAGCTATAACAGAGCAAGCACTAACCTTACTGCAATCTTATGCCACCACTATCAGCATAACTTGAAACCATGATTATTATAGCATCAAGGTTCAATTTATCTGCTGCCTACAGAAAATTGCTCAAGAATGGCGTTTTGATGATTAACATGTTGATATTTTCAGTGATTGCGACACTTACTTTTCATTTTTGTTGCAATCCAAGTAAAAGTAGTTATGCCTTTCTTGATCCGGGAATAATCTTCGTTGAAAGATACATCACTATTGAGCAGCATTGTCGTAAAACGGGCTACTTTTGTTCATTTCTTTTAGGTCAACCATGAAAAGGATATATTTAGCTGGAGTAACCATTGAATTTTTTTTTTTTTGGTGATGATCCTGTTAGCTGTTACCTTGTTTGGTATGTATAATAAAGGCAGCTCAGTCAACTGGATACTTCTTTGGCAGTTTTCCGTGGGAAAGCCAAGCATTTTCTCTCCTGTTTGAGGATAAGTGGACGTAATTCAACTTGAAACAGAAGCGGTTGAAATTTCTCAAGAAACATGTACATTCTAACAATTCTGGTTGAATTCATTGTGAAATTGTAATAAGGGCTTGAAGTTTCATTTGGATTCAGAAGTTCTAAAATATCGACTTAGAAAGCAAAAGGTTTCTTGTGAAAGTGTAACTTTAATGGGATTACGTGTTTATTATTGCACTTCCTTTTAATTGTTCTTAGTACCCGTGGGATCGTTAACCTTTTTCGTATCTAAAACCTGAAATTTTGATTGAGCTTCTTTCAGGCCTGTAGATAATAAGCTTCTGCAGAATCTGGACGCTACGCTTGCAGAAAATTCTTTTTATTGCTTTTAGAGTTTTGGAAAAATTACACGGTATAGCCACTCTAAAAATTAATAGTGCCAAATGTATAACTTGCCCTTTAGTTTTTGGTGTTTAATGCATTTTTCTCCCGTTAATATAGTTGTTGAAATAAAATAAAAACAGAACGATGTTTAAAATGATTGTAGTAATAATTATTTAACTTTAGCTACAATTGCAAGACTAATATTTGCATGCTCTGCCATACTAGGTGGCAATTTGACAGTACAGTAGGTATAATAGATGCTCAACTTGAAATGTCAATGTGAATTGCAGACCTCGAATTTTAGCAACTATGTGATGTGGACGGGAGGCCGTAAAAAGATACCTTTGCTTGCTTACAATTTGAAGTTACACAAAATAAATACCTCTAAGTGAATAACTTCATTAAAAATGTGGCAAATGTACTTACCAAATGGTATAACGTGTGTCTCTATGCGATTAGCCGATAACTTCCTTAAGAATGCGATATCATTAAGTTAACTGAAAAATTTATAAATCCATTAAGATGTTACTTAATATGATACCCCCAAGAAAGCATTGCTTACAGAGGCTCATCTAATTCCAGTGCGAGATAATTTCCAACTTATATATATAATGTACCTCTAACTGACAACTCCATTAATAAAAGAGTGATACCATAAGTCAAGACACATTACTCATTTAGGTTCACCTAACTCCATTCAGAAATAGTCCAGCTTAAATATAGAACGTGTACTTTCAAGTGATAACTACACTATGAATGCATAGTTAGTACTAAAAAGTTTGTACCTTCAAGTGATAGCTATGTTTAGGGACAGAAAGGTGCTGATACGTCTCTTTTTCTCAATAAAATATATAAAGATATATGCTACCATGAAAATGAAGACGAAGATTCAGGAATAAACTTCGATAAAGAGACGATTAGTAAGGAGAACAAGACATAAAACAAAAGAAAAGACTGTCGAACGATAAGGTAAAGGACATATATATAATGTGTGTGTTAAGAAAGTTCCTTCACCAAATTAAAAAAATTACCTACTGTAATTGATTGAAAGCTCATGTTAATTTGACTCTCTCCTCATGCTCTCAGCGTACGTTAGCTAACGTACGCTGGCGCGGCTGCCATGGGAAGAGGGCAAGGTCATGGACGAGGAAGACCCAAAAACCACCCATAATCGCGTTCGGAAGCTCAGTTAGTGCTAGAACACATGCAACAAAACTGAATTAACCACAAGAACAAGATCTGTCGACACCGCAAATGCAGAATGGGATGATGGACTCAAGGAAAAGTGAATCAACATCGAAGACTACTGGGGTAAGTAAACAATTGAATCTAAGCGCTCTGCTGTCAATTACTTAGAAGGAACAGTCAAACAAGGAGAAATCCCCTGAGAAAATCAATGGAACAGTAACTGCACCTAACCTTAACTTGGAGATTGGGACTGGAGATAACAGTAACAAAGGAAAAATACATGAGCGGGAAGTGATAAGTGCAATTGAACCAATTGAACCTAACATAGATCCGATTGAGAGTGAAAAAACCCAGGTGCCTATTACTGAAACAGACAAAGCCACCACTAGAGGGCCCAAGTGTTGGACAAGTCTGTTTCAACAAAACAGAGCAGCAACACATGGGGATTGCACTCAGCTATATTCTACCAGCAATAGTGGATGGAAAAACAGTGGTGCAACTGGAATTACAGGATGTAGCAGAAGAGGAAGAGAAATAGCGATGTGCTATGATTGCATACATAATTGGAGATACAATGCAATAAAAAGATATATAGCTCAACACTAGCCGGACATTGCAGAACCAAATCCATTCCTACACGAGGAGGGATACAACATTATTAAATTCCAGTCGATGGATGATTTGGTCCCTCTACCATCGACAACAGACCGATCATCCTGAAACCATGGAAACATGACTTTGACCCGAGCAAAGAATTTCTCACAGAAATACCACTGTGGGTGATCTTACCTAAGCTCCCAATGAATTGCTGGGTGAGTGCATCTTTAAGTAAGATTGCTAGTACAAGTGGGAAACTATTATTTGCTGATGAGTGTACAACCAAACGAACAAGGATCTCATATGCGAGGATGCTGATTGAAACTAATATAATCAAAGCCTTGCAAACATAAATCACTGTGATGGATCCTAGAGAAAAGCAATTCCAACAGAAGTTGGTATATGAGTGGAAACCAATTTACTGTGAAAAATGTTAGGCTATTGGGCATAAATGTGCCAATCAACAAGGACCTAGAATACAACAAGTGGAGCAACCCAGAAGAAGAAGAGAACTAAAAAAGGTTACTTATGAATGGAGAACTAAAAGACCTATGGTAGTAGCAACAAAACCTATGGCAGTAGAAGCAGAACCTTAAGGAGATCAAAATGGGATATCCACTGTAATTCAGCAAAGTCAGAGTATCTCCCAAGTTGAGACTCCAAAGATCTCCCAACTAAAAGAAGGTAGAGTATCAGAGAAACCTGAAATGCAGCAAGATAAGGATAAGGGGGTGATTAGTCCAGCACTGAAGTTGATCAACTTTCCAATACTATCACCTTATACAAGCAGGAATGACATGGTGGATGCAAGAAGGGGTCGTGGTGTAAGTCAGTCCTTGACTCATGAAAGAGGAGGGGACAAACATAACACACAATAACTTGGTTATTCTGGAATGTTAGGGGTATAAATAAATGGTATAAGCAGAAGGAAGTGAGGAACTACTTGAAAGCCAATACTATAAAGCTAGCCGGTATTGTTGAGACTAGAATTAAGGAGCACAATGCAAGTAGAACAAGTAGTTATATTGCCCATGGCTGGGATGTAATACAGAATTATAGTCATCCTATTAATGGAAGGATTTGGATTTTGTGGGATTCTAGCTACTATACAGTTACCTTGATAATGACAGAAGCACACATATTCCAATGTCTAGTCAAAGGACCTGCTAGGAATATTGACTGTTACTTGACAATCGTATATGGGTTTAATACTATTGATCAAAGGAAACTCCTATGGGATAACCTGAAAGAGGCTGCTCAAGGAATCACCAAACCATGGCTAATTGGTGGTGATTTTAACTCAATACTATACACACAAGATAAACTTTGTGGATGCACAGTCAACAATGATGAGATCAGGGATTACGCCAATTGTATACAAGCACTGAGGCTAACTGAGATGGCATGGGAAGGATAGTACTACACATGGTCCAATAAGCAACTTGGTTTAGGTAGGATATTGAGTAGAATAGATAGGGTATTTGGGAATTATGAATGGATGTTGACATGGGGACATATCAATACTATTTAGGGTATGCCTTACATCTCTCATCACTCTGCCATGACATTAAAACTAACTCTACATCAGAGAAGTGGAAAGTCACCCTTTAAGTTCTTCAATGTGTGGGCAGATGTCACGACCCCAAATTCACCCTCCGTAGGATGTCGTGATGGCACCTAATCTCTAATACTAGGTGAGCCTAACAATTTTTGTGGACATACGTAAAATAAAACGGAAGCCAAATTTCTCAACGTATGGAGTAAATATAAAACTGCAATCCAATAATTTTAACTCCCAAAACCCGGTAGAAATAAGTCACAAGTTTCTAAGAATTTATTTTTGAGTATCCCGATGAACCACTTCATAGGCTCCACATCATAAGTCAAGTTACCATCCAACTGCACTATGCTGAAATACAAAACATGAGACGGATCCCCAACATACTTCTGGAGCATAGATACATGAAACACTGGATGAACACCCGATAGACTAGGCAGCAATGCAAGTTCATAATCCACCCCTCTAATCTTTTTAAGTATTTCAAAAGGCCCAATATACCGAGAGCTCAATTTTCCCTTCTTCCCAAACCTCAGCACACCCTTCGTGGGTGAAACCTTAAGCAGAACCTTCTCACCAGCCATGAATGCAACATCACGAACCTTCCGATCCGCATAAATCTTCTATCTAGATTGGGCTGTACGAAGTCGATCCTGAATCAACTTAACCTTTTCCAAAGCATCCTGAACCAGGTCTGTACCCAATAGCCTAGCCTCGCCCGGTCGAACCAACCCACTGGAGACCGGCACTGCCTCCCATATAAGGCCTCATACGGAGCCATCGGAATGCTCGACTGGTAGCTATTGTTATAAGAAAACTCTGCAAGTGGAAAGCACTAATCCCAAGAACTCCCAAATCTATCACGCACGCACGAAACATATCCTCCAATATCTGAATAGTGCGCTCGGACTGTCCGTCCATCTGAGGGTGAAATAATGTACTCAACTCTATCCGAGTACCTAACTCACGCTGTAAGGCTCTCCAGAACCATGATGTAAACTGTGTACCCCGGTTAGAGATGATAGATATCGGTACACCATGAAGCTTGACAATATCGCGAATATAAACCTGACCCAACTTCTCCGAAGAGTAAGTAGTAACCACATGAATGAAATAAGCTGACTTGGTCAATCTATCCACAATCACCCAAACTGCATCGAACTTCCTCTGAGTCCATGAGAGTCCAACAACAAAATCCATAGTGATCCGTTCCCATTTCCATTCTGAAATCTCTAACTTCTGAAGCAATCCACCCGGTCGATGAAGCTCATACTTCACATGTTGACAATTTAGGCATCGAGCTACATATTCCACTATGTCTTTCTAAAATCCGCCTCCACCAATAGTGCTGTCTCAAGTCCTGATACATCTTTACAGCACCCGGATGAATGGAGTACCGCGAACTGCGAGCCTCATGAAGAATCAACTCACGTAAACCATCTACATTGGGCACACATAGCCTGTCTTGCATCCA